ATAACTGCTTGTACATTTGAGTATAGTGTATACAAAATGCAAAAAATAATTTATGTGCAGAAAATGTTAACTGTGTAATTATGAATGATATAAAGGAGTGGAGCTTGGGTTTTAATATCAGCATCTTACTTGTGATGACCTGGGGCAAGGCACAGAGGCAACACAGTCAGCTAATAGTTCAAATCACCCCTTTATTGCTCCAACTTTCCCCCAAATGCTTCCATGTTATGGCAAGTCCCAGAGCAAAGTGATCATACACACACACATCCCTCCAGCAGCCTCTGGATGTAAGTAGTCCAGCAAAATGCTGTGTGCACAATGTCTGCAAAGAAATCCAATGGGGCAAGGGAATAAGTCAATGAGTCCAGGAAGCAAAGGAACACGACAATTAATCCAGGAAGCAAGAAATAAAAAGAATTAATCCAGGAAGCAAGATGTCCAGTAATCTCTAAACATTGGCAATGGCACACCAAACTCCTTGAATTCCGTGTTTGTTCCCGACAAATGCCCCTCCCCACAGCGTTTCCTTAAATCTCAGTCCCCAGGTGTGCCTTGTGAAGAGGGGCATGGCGCTCTTCTCCTGAGTCGTCAGGTCGGCCTCTGCTGTTCCCACTTCCTCTCCATTGTCCACACTCCAGGCTTATGGATCAGGAGGGGACAGTCCTTGCTCATCAGCTGAACTCCGTTGCTCTTCATTTCCACCGCTTGCCCTCTCTCGGTCATCCTGCTCCTGTTCCTCCCTGCTAGCAAGCTGTCCCACTCCTGTTGGACCCCTGGCCTGCCTCCTCCCCACATTCCTCCAAAGCAACTATACATGCTTTTAGGCATACATGTGTAAAAAAGGATGCTATTGTTGAGTGATAACCAGGCTTTGCTCTTGAAATAGCAATAGCACTTAGACTTATATACTGCTTCGGAATGCTTTACAGCCCTCTTTAAGCAGTTTACAGAGTTGGCAAATTGCCCCCAACAATTTGGGTCCTCGTTTTACCGACCTCGGAAAGCTGAGTCAACCTTGTGCCAGTGAGAATCGAACTGCCAAACAGCAGGCAGCCAGGCGAAGTAGCCTGCAGTATTGTATTCTAACCAGGGGTTGTATTTACTTACCTTCCCTAGCAGTTCGCAAATGTCAGCGCACGTGTCAGCCTTCCACGCATGCACTTTTGGTGAAAATGGGATGCCGTAGCTGTGGCAAATGGGAGGGGCCACCTGCGATTTCCGCTACCGATTTCGGGTGAACCGGTCCGAACTGGTAGAATACAACCTCTGATTCTAACCACTGTGCTATTACGGCTCACATAAAATATATAAAATATAAATAGATTTTATATAAATATAAAATTTAGGCATATGCTTTTTCCAATGCCACACTTAGCAAATACATATCCTAACCTCCTTGATTGCTTTAGAGTGGAATAGATGGCTCTTAGTCCTGAAGATGCTCAAGTTCAAAAGTTTCAATTAAAATGTGAATAGACTGCACTAATCCCATCATCCATTTTGAGTTTTTCATAATAATCGTCTTTGGGTCAGTATAGGTCCAAGTGACTTAACCCACTTAATCCACTGGTTGCAACCCAGAATCCCTCATTACCTGATATAGCTCTGTTAGATGATATGGGTAAATGTCCTGAAATATTAGTGTTATAGCCCAGCAACAGCCTGTGCTGCGTTCTAATTGGTNACACACACACACACACACACACACGTGCGCACACACACACACACACACAAACACACTTGATGTCCTTTCCCCAGTCGTTTTTAGTATTGCCTGGAATAAAAAATAATATTGAGCTTTGGCTGAGTGATTGGATTATCTTTTTTCAAGGTTCATTGCCTTCTATTATCTACTGTTCTATTGCCTTAGAATAAGAAGTGATATTTCCTGAAGTCTGCAGTAGTGTTTTATGGATTAAAGTTGCAGCATGTTCAAGCTTACTTGGAAATACATCTATATCCAGTTGAAATTAATTTTTTTTGTAGTAGAGAAATAATGGCTCACAGAAAAGTGTAGGTACTTCTCCACCTACGACAAGTTGGCAGAATTTATGTTGCTAAGCAAAGTGATTGTTAAGGGAGTCGTGCCAGATTTTATGCCTTTTTTGCCATGATTCTTAACCAAATCACTGTGGTTAAGTCTATCATGCAGTTGTTAAATGAATCCAGCTTCCCCATTGACTTTACTTGTCAGAAGTGAGATGGGAAGGTCAGAAATCATGATTACATGTTTCTGGGATGCTGAAGCATTGTAAATACATGCTGATTGAATTTTGAAATACAAGCACCTAAATATTTGATCACGTGACTGTGGAGATGCTATAACCATTCTAAGTATGAGAGGGCTGAGGATAAGCTGCTGAGGAATTATTGTGTGAAACAAATGAGTTTTCTCCATTCATAAAAAGCTCAAACTATTCATTAAGGTAAAGGTTCTCTTTGCACATATGTGCTATATCAACTTGTACATTTCTGTAATAGAGATCCACTCTTAAGAAGTAACCATTCTTCTTAGAACTATAAACATAATAAATGATGAAGGTAAGACTTTGGTAAGCTTCATATCTGCATGTTGTACTTACAGTATATACTTGTGCGTAGGGCAAAAACATTGCATTTCTAAAAAAACTACATTTTCATCTTTGCTCCAGATGGATCATTGAGAAAATATTTTTTCCTATTTTGGTGTGTGTGTGTGTGTGTGTTTGTGTATGTATGTGACAGGAAGTGCATTTATAGTCCTGATCAGCAGCCAAATTGCTTCAGCCAAGATTAAAACTGGTTTTATATCCCGTTGCCTTTTTAATAAACCACTGGTATTGGCTTAATCGAGAACATGTGTGGTACATCAAAATGATGCTTAGAAGATCTTAATGGAAAACAATGGATTCTAATATTTATTACTGGATTAGTTACATAATTGCTTTCATTCTTATTACTATAAAAATACATTTTACACCCATTGCTACAATCATGTTTACAGTAAATAATATACATTGGTGTGTGTGTGTGTGTGTGTGTGTGTGTGTGTATAAAATAACTGCTTGTACATTTGAG